GGAGCCTCTCCTGCCTCCTCAGCAGCGCTAAGGATGTCCGACTGCAGCTTAGGCCTGCTCCCCGCTGGCAAGTGGACATCCCCTGAGGGCTCCCGGGCTGCCAGAGGGATGTCTGATTGCCATCTTAGGCCCAATCCCCCGGGGAGCAGGCCTAAGCCAGCAAGTGGTCATCCCCCAAAGGGTCCCAGACTGCGAGAGGGCACAGGCCGGGCTGAGGGACCCCCCCCACCCCGAGTGCACAAATTTTTGTGCACCGGGCCTCTAGTATGCTAATAATATGCTAAGGCCACTCAACTGCTCACTACGATGTGCACTGACCACCAGGGGGCAGACAGTCAACTGGTTGACCAGTCACTATGATGTACACTGACCACAGGGGGCAGACGCTCCACTGGTAGGTTAGCTTGCTGCTGGGGTCCGGCTGATCGGGACTGAGTGAGACAGGCCGGACACGCCCTGGAGCCCTCCCGCGTCCCTCCCCAGCCCCAATCGTGCACTGGTGGGGTCCCTCTGCCTGGCCTGTGCTCTCTTGCAATCTGGGACCCCCCGGGGGATGTCGGAGAGCCGGTTTCGGCCCAATCCCGCAGGCCAGGCTGAGGGACCCACTGGTGCAAGAATTCGTGCACCGGGCCTCTAGTTTTTTAATAAGCATCACACAAACACAAGGTATGTTTGAACCTTTTATTCATACAAAGGGCACGTTTTCCCCAATTTCTAAACTGTTAAATAAGTATAAAAAAAATTCATTAGTTAATGCCAATCAAGTACATGCAAAATTAAAACATTTAGGAAGTACTTTGCTACATAAAGCAGTTCCTATACTTCTCTTTTAACCCATTTACTAAATATACCTATTTGTACTTATACCCAGTATATGAAATAAGTATAACATTAAGGCAATCCTCCTTATAGACACAAGCTGGTATCTAATTAATGTTATTGGTAACCAGAAAATAAATAAGAACCTACTTACTAGTTACCAGGGAAAACAATCAAATTGAAGGGGGCAAGAAGACTTGCTGGAGACACTATTGGTGAAACAGCAGAGCTCTTAGTGGCTTAGCAGCCAGCAAAGCATCAAAAGTACTTAGGTCAGGCAGCTCCTATCAGACGATGTCCAGTGCAACACAAACCACTCCTCCCTCCAGCCCACCTTGCAATTTCAAAACATTCCCAAAGCTGAAACTTAGCATGACAGAGTCCACACTTTGGAATAAAAAAAAGCATAAAACACAAGGTATCTCCTACAGAGTTTGAAGTATGTGGAATTACAAGTAAGAAACAAGAATCTCCAGACTTGTTTTTTGGGGGGTGATGAGTTGTCATTAGACATGTCATTTTCTTCTGTCACACCCCATAAAAGTCTTCAACTGAATAAAAGAACATTCAAGAATAGGAAGTAAATTAACCACAATAAATCCACATCTGTCTTAAAGATTAAGATAAATAAATCTGCCTATAAACACAGATTTTATTTAACATATTCAGTTTTAAGAGATAACCCACATTCCTTCAATATAAAGAAGCTTGTTTCTTAGATAACAGGTGGCACCTGAATTACAATCAGCCTACTGAAATACTCAGGGGCACACCACACCCAAACAAACTCAAGCCAATCAAGAAGTAAAAGCAATCCAGTCCCACCGGTTAATTGTCTAGATTAATTCATTTTACATTTTCACTCTCAGCCTCATGAATATTTTATGAGAAATCCACATAATTTCTTTAGAAATAATCTCTATTCACTGGTATATTTTTATAGTCCAATTTACCTCCCCCATCCTTGCTGGATCTTAAAGACTGGATCATTACCACCCATAATAATTACCTTTATGAACATAAGCAACTTGACAGGAGAAAAAAATATAGACATAAAATAAAGCCAAAAAATCCTGTGAGATACCACTAAATTTTAAATATTAGACTATATCCTTAAGACCTGTTATAAACAAAGGTGATAGACAAGAGAAGGCTTTTGTTCACTTTAATACTATTAAACTCAGCAGTCTGAAACTAACAACAACACAAGAAAAACCTATCTCACCTAAAAACTCCTGTACAGTCCAGCCAATGTGGCTCAGTGGTTGAGCATTGACCCATGAACCAGAAGGTTTTGGTTAGATTCCCAATTAGGGCGCATGCCCAGGTTTCCGGCTATGTCCCCACTAGGGGGCATGCAGCAGGGACAGCTGATCAATGATTCTCTCTCATCATTGTTGTTTCTATCCCTCTCTCCCTCTCCCTTCCTCTCTGAAATCAATAAAAATATATTTAACAAAAAAAACAACAACAAAAAAACACCTGTTTGTATTATAATAATATTCTGATGTTTTATCCAACAACTCAGTTCTAGGAAATTTCTGTAAACTAAAACATCTGGATTAAGCACCTCTACAAGTTCTCTCCAGATGGAAAGAATTAAAAGAGTGTACATCACCAAAATACGTTTCCAAAAAAGAGTAAAACAAACCAACACAGAACACCTCATTGAATTTGGTAATTCATTATGATGGAACCAGCAACAATTCACCTTGCTAGACTACCAAATTTAAAAAAACAAACAAACAGTATTGGTTTAGGTTTTCCTTTTCTACAAATTACCTGACAGCCCATAAGAGAATAATTCTGAATCTTATTAGTATCAAATTTTCTTATTAGGAGATATTATTAATACAAACATGAGTTAAAATAAGTTTTATAAAATCACAGTAATAAATTTCCACTAATTCAGAAATATTCCTTTACTCATTATTCAGATGGAGTTACTTTTATACATGCACATTTATACATGCACACTTGCACTTTGTAACTGAATAAACATATTAATTCTATAATACATACTAAAAATTAAATCAATGTGAAGTAAAGTCAAGTCTAATTTCTAAATAAGAATTATCATCTGGCTCCCTAAACCTCAGGATAATGAGAAATACTGTTCTATAAAGTTCCCCTGCCAAACTCATCCACTGAAATAGAGATAAACATCTCATTGAAGCAAATGTCATTGGAAAGATTCGGTTTTACATATATATTCTATCTTCTGGTCTCAACTAGGACTTAAGGTACAAGCACTTTGCAAGTTTTTCAAGAATCCTTCTAAATGCACAGAAGATAAAGTTAATTGCATACAACAGATGCCTTAGTCATTAGGGCTCATTCTCTACAAAGACCTAATTAAGAAAGACTGCCACAAGTTCCTGGTTGTTTTGCTGCTAGACCCAATTACCCTAACCACAAAAGTACTAAAAGAACTAAACGCAAAAATCTAGGGACTTAGATAAGAAAATAGATAAATGCTTTACCTCTCTAACTTTCAGCAACTCAGTCTTTTTCATTTGCTAATTTACTATGACTTAATAGCATGGGTGTCAACTATTTGTCCTCTGCTCTGAATGGAATGTATTTACTTTAAGAAAATAAACCCATACAGGTATACCGACTCTTTGTTAAAGGATATCAGCCCTAAAAAAAAAAAAAAGAATGAACACAGTAATCAGTATACTAAAGAAATAAGAACTATTAACTTGACAAGCCTTTTCCTACTTCCCCTTCTTTAGCAAGCTTTAAATATACATCTTTTGATGATCATAACTGCTAAATACAAGTTTTCACTTAAAAAAGAAATATTTTTAAAAACCAGCTTATCTTTTATTATTGCACTAATCTCCCATTCTCAAGAAACTGTCTTTTGTTATTCCTCCATGTGGTGACTACAGTACCTTCAACTGCATTAATTATAATCAAATCAAAGGAAGGAAAACACCAGTTCTTTAACTAAAACAAATATTTTTTTAACTGGCCCAATTTTAGGAAGCATTAAGTACTTTTATTTACACAGCAAAATGACTTTTAAAATAAGGTAAAGAGTTGTTCTATACTGAATGTGCAAAGCAGTACTGAAAAGATGGGAATGTCATGTTTAGTTTTTTCCATTTTTAATTTATGCCAACGTGAAGGTGGACAGTACAGAACATCAGCACAGATAGCTAAATTACATTATTGGACATCCCACTTTACCAACTGCCTACTCAAATTTCTCACGTTTATAAACATGAATACAAAGGGCACAAAAATGGAGGGGTTGGTGTGCAGTTATCTGTGCTCAACTGTGAATGTTCTATCAAGATACATAATGCAATGAGATGGGAATGTTTACCCTCTACACTGTATCTCTACAGCATCTCTAGAATCTACAGTATCTCTAACCAGATTAACTCTTTCCCCCGCCCCCGTGAAATGGGAGAGGGGTGTCTTGATGCATTTACTATAACTGTTTTGAGGTAGAGATGATCACCATAAAACATAATTGAACAATTCAAACTCATTTTCCTCAAATCAAGTGCACCCTTCCTCCCGTTCCTACATAAAGACACATCACTTTGCTACTAAAAATTTCCATTCCTCACAAGTGACTTTTCCTGAACTCAAGTCAACACTGCTTTGCGCCCAGGCTTTCGACTGACTGCACCTTGTGGGCAGAGAGTTGTGCTTATTACTAATTCCTCTCCTTAAACTCTTTTCCATTTTTTAAATGCTGTCCCGATTAAGCAGGACTCACATTAACCAGGACTCACATTAACCAGTATCTAAAGGATTCGTTTACAGGGGTGAAAAATACACTTTCCATTAATACATCCATCCCACTCCCGTGTGCACAGTAGGTGGGACTATTTGCAAACTTAAGAATTAGTTTTATATATGTTAACCACCATCCAAAGGAGGCAATTCCCTCCATTTTCAAACACTCATGTTGATTCGAGACTCTCTGACTTTTGGCCTTTAGAAACTGCTCACCACTCGAGTCCCAAGACAGAACCACATTTAGCAACGGGTCTTCTGACTTCCTGATACCCAAACCCACAAGCGCCAGGACTGCTGCGTCGGTTCGTTATAAAACACTGTTTGCTCCTTTCGCCTTCCGGGGAAAGCCAGGGCTTTCCGCCCCGGGGCGCCACTGGGAGGGGAGGGTCACGCGTTTGGAAAGCAAACACCGGGGTCTGGCCGAGCGGCGTCCGGGGGGTTAAGTGGCGACTCTCCTCCCCGGAGGCTGAGCCGGCCGGCAGCGCTCAGGCTGAAGGAGAAAAGAAGGTAAAAATAAACGCCGCCGCGGCCCACGTGCCGCCGTGGGAGCCGGGGAGGGAGGGAGGGAGGGAAGAAGGGGGCCGTACCTCCAAACAA